GCTTATAAGCTGCTCTGGCCCACACTCATGGCTTGATGAGGGCAGCAGTATAGTAGGAGCTGGAATGTCTCCAGACACAGCTGGTATTGTATAGGCAGAAACAGGCAGACAACCATGAAAAACAGGAAGTAGATAGTGGGGGGAGGGTCAGCGCTCTGATCCCCTGCATGTGGCCCTGCGATGGAAGTGATTCAGAGGCCTCCTCCTCCTCCGCCACGACAGACACTGTGTCAGGGATCATCAGTCATAACTCATCATGCTTGTCCTCGTGTTGGCCTCTTGACTAAACCTTCCCATTGTTTTATGTCATTGTTTGCATCCCACAGATTAGTTCCATTTAATTGCCCCTTTTATTTGAATGAATAAGATATGAATGCACAATACCTCCCTGAGAAAAGGGCACGCCTTCAGAGCATACATTCATCACTATTGTGGGATTTGTTTTTGTGGGGTCAGCAGTTGGCTAATCAATGGTTAAAGCCGACTCAGGTTTATTGTTACTGAGCTTATTAGGCCTTGTTGCCATCGGGGCAAGTCTCCGCCCTCTTTCACATTTAAAATACTGTGTGAAGGCAGGTAATGGGCACTTCCCTCCTGAGACGGCAACACATTCCTCACAAGGCTGAGTGGACAAAAACAACCCTTAATGTTATTTTTAGAAAGACATTGGACACTGTGTTTCTACTGTATGTCACAGTTAATGTATCATCATTAAATATTCATAACAAGTGTCTCAGCAGGCTCATGTACATCATCAGCTGTGGTAGCGTAACACAAGTTTTCATTTGTTATCTTTGTAAGAAAACCATTCGATTTCTGTGTAGCATCAAGTTCATCTTTGTTATTGACTTCCTTTTCAATTGTCTTGTCAATAAACACTGATAACATACAGATCGCTTCCTCTCAAGTGGTTGCACTAAAGGCCCGGACAGTTGCCGAACTGTAGTATCAGGCCTTAATGTCCGTGTTGATTCATGCTGTGAGTTCTGGTGGTGCCGCAGCCCCTCTAACACAAACTGGTGTAATCTGGTTTTACCCATACTGCTCCATATGGGAAGGCCACCATCCGCTGGGCGGGAGAAATCCACTTAGTGAGAGAGAGAGAGAGAGAGACTCGGCTTTTCCTTACGTGCAGCTGATCCATTCACAGTCATCTTTGTGACCTCTCCAACAACTGATTGTCTTGAGAGGTGACACTGTGGTGAAATACAAGTGTGGCTCTGCATGCCACAGTTGCTCGGCCTCACCTGTTCCTGGTCCACAAGACGTAAAACCAGCAGCTACTGACAAGTGGCAATTGTGTGTGTGTGTGTGTGTGTACAAGACACTGCAGATGAACAAGTTGCCGTCCATCAAAGAGGCTTTGGATGAGGTCACCTTTACCCTCATCCTGTCACCTTCCCCTGGGGATTATGCCAATGTCTCTGTCCAGTTACCTCTGAGGCAGCTCACCGCTCCTTTTATTCTTTCTTTTAAGAACTCAATTACTTCTGCCACAACAACAAAAATCCACAATGAACAGGAGGTTCATTACCTCTCCATGTGGGTCGAAACAGTCTTTTCTCAGAGAATTAGTAGGCGGAGCAACAGTCCCCTCTGCACTGTGACGACTCATGTGGGAGGACGAGTGAAAAATGGAGGGAACCGCAGCAGCAGCAACAGGCAGCAGCTGTGATGGAAGGGTTCCTCCATGCTTAACACAACAACAGCATTGTTATCCGACACCTACTTAATGGCTTTTACCCTCTTTCTGCCCTTCCGTCATTTTTGTCCTCCTCTGTCATACACATACATCTACATGTAGAAATATAGAGTCACACCACAGTTTAGCATGTCGTTTAGAACCCCCCATGATCATGTAATCATGTTTTTGCTGCAGTAGATCATGTGTTTATCTAAGCAACCTCCCTGCAGTGTCCTTTCATTTAGAAAAGTTTTTGCCACAAAGGAAAAACAGAGTAGGCAGTCTCCAAAGAAAGCAAAAAAAAAACAGTCTCCAAAGTGAAAGCAGATCACTATGTTGCTACTGTGTTACAATCCAGATTAACTCCTGTTAAAAAAAGAACATCTATGGGTCAATATACAGCACTATATAATCAGTGGTGGAGGAAGTAATCAGACTGACTTTACTTATGAGTAAAAGTACTTTTACATACTGTTGAGTAGTTTGATCTTTAAGATTGAATCACATTTTACACATAAAATATTTTACTACATAAAACAGGTAACACTTTTTCATAAGTATACATATAACATTGTAATGTCCTTGAATGTAATAATAGTGAAATTATTTTGTAAGAGTTTATTATATGATAACTCCTATGAGAGCACATTGTTTTATTGAAGCATCATACTTCCATCTCACTTGTAGTAATTCATCTTCTTCATTCCTCTTAGTTGCTTTTTAGCAGCACACATATTATAGTTGGATTCTTATTTTAGAATATCAGCTGTCTACTTGTTTAAATCTGTTATGCTGGACACAGCGTTGACAAAACATGAAAAAACCATAAAAGAGACTCACAAAATACCTGTGATACAGTAACACTGCCTTGTGAATTGAATGTGAAGGCCCAACTGATTAGAACATATCTATATCATGAAGCAGCTCCTCACATCATACAATATATGATACACCAGGGCCTACATCTATATCTGCATCACTGACCACATTTGTGTTGTGAAAGAAAGGTCATGTTATTTTATAATAATTTCGGACATCATGTAAAAATGTGAAGGACAGGACTCCAGCACTGCATTTCCCCTGCAGCTCTTAACTAGAAACTGTGTATGTCTCTTCTGGATGTATTTGCTCCTCAGCTCAGAAGAATCTTGTAGAACTGGTTACTTTTACTACCGAGTGTGATTCGTTTGCAAACTGTTGACGCTGCTTAAGAGCTGTTTGTTTTAAGTGGCAACAAGAGATACAGGTACCTAATTTATGCATCGCACCCCCCTGTCCCTTGTTGATGAATGGGGCAGTGGGGTGAAGTAAAGTTCTGTTGTCATTACCATAATAATACGAGCAAGCATCAGCATAGACTTGGTCTAATTGTTAACACCTCTCTGCCCGCAGGCATCAGGCATCAGGCACAAAGCTTTTGTTTGGACAAAGTGGGTGAATCTACAGGGTGTCACACGGGGGAGGGACTGATTGTGTCTACTGCAAACTTGCAACACACTTTTAGAAAATATAAGTACCTTTATACAGTATTTATTGACTATTGTAACGTGCAGTCTGGGTCATATAGTTTCATCTTGTATATTTTTGGTTTACCTGTGACATAGTAGACATAGTAGTAATAGATATTTTGCTACTGTGGCCATGCAGGAAAAGAAAATTAGAAACTCAGATGTATGAGCACAGCACCAACATATGAGCACCTCTATGAATCTTTCACTGTAATTGGAATTCACTATGACATCAAAGGTTATAACTCTTATTAAATGAAAATAAGTGTGTGTGTGTGTGTGTTTCCGACAATAAAATAATCACTAGGAGCAGAAATGCTTTTTGGGCCCTTGTTCACTGTTTGATCAAATCAACAACAGCAAATGGGTTGCAATTTATTTTGGAAAGATGAATCAGCATCAGCATTACACAATGTACCTGGATTACTTACCAAGAGGAAAAGCCTCAAAAGTCTTATCAAAACATCAGATCTCCATGTTTTTTGCAACATTTGTTAGTAGCAAGGTGTCACAGATGAGTTGGGAGGGCTCCCCAAACAAAATCATATTTGGTGTGTTCGCAGGCGGTTGTTGAATGCAATCCTGCAGGAAATACCACTGCACTGTGAAGTCAGGTCTGTAATGCTGTTCACACCAGATAAAGGAGCCTGCAAGTTCTAGTAGCAGCAGAGCGGTTCACAGACGCCTTCAAAGAAACTGACCTCAAGACATAGAGTGATATACTGCATTCAAATATCAAATAATACAGATTATAATTTTTTTAGAAAATTAAAAAAAATACATTGAATCTATAAGGCAATAATGACCTGTCTGTGGTGACTCAAAGCCATTTGTACTGTTACGCTGTTTTTTTTTATATACAGTGCTCAGCCAACATCACACAGGATTATTATAAAACTTTTGGTACAGAACCTCTCCACTACTAAAATGCAATTAAGCCTAAAACTACCACAAATCATTTCTATTATAACATTATAATGACACATGGTTTGATTTAAAGGGATTTTCTTCAGCTTGTTTTTTTTACATTTGATGTTCAGTCAATTAGGCTTGACTTGGCTCACTGCTATAATGTCAAATACAAACCTGGGTGAAAATAACAAATATGCAACTTTAATTCTTGTCTTGCAAAATAAACAGTATGTTGCCACAAGAGTGTTGCAGCCATTCAAGTCAGTTCCCGCTATTGGTGTGTGTCAGTTACACATACAGCATATTCCATGTTTTTATCCATGTTGTTGTTTTATGTTGAGCCGCACTTTGTGCAGAAAAGTGCTCTTTAAAAGCAAAATAGATTCAAAAACATGAATATTTCATGTTTTCTGTGCAGTTGACCTCCATACACCACAAAATGCTCAGTTTTATTTGTGCTTAAGGACAGAGGAGGGATAAGACGATCGCTGGTTCTGTCCACTCGGGGGAAATGAATGAAATGTCTTCCAACACAAGGCTGCTGCAGCTCTCTCCACTGCAGTCGCGTTCAGCGCTGCACGCTCACAAATGGCGCAAAACCGACGGTGACAACACCGGGGCCGCGGTTGCACAAGAAAGCACAGACACGCTAAGAGCTGCAACCACAAGTATCCTGTCGCCATTTTCCCGAGCTGAACTACAATAGAGCCGGGCTGCAGAACACACCCCTCTCTCTCTCCATCCTGCCCCTGACGTACACGCCACATTGTCTTTTCCCTGCAGCGCCGAGGACGCACCGCGGCTTTGTTTCTGAAGCTGCGCTTGTCTCAGTCACGGTGCGACACGTTGCAGGGAAATAAAAGCATTAACAGGCGAGGTGAGCGGGACGACTCCATGACAATCTCGCCTTGTTGCAGCAGATGGCTGCACAGACAGACAAATGGCTCGCCACGTCGGTTGAGTGACGTGCGACGCGGCCACACAGAGAGGAGGCTGGATTTGAAATCGTCTCGCTGACCAGCGCCTCGTCCAATCGGCGCGCGGCGGGGGCGGGCCAGAGCGCCGTCAGTCACTGAGGGACGATAACGGTTTGAATGGGGAGGGAGAATCCAATCCGGTTTGAGCTAGTTTCTCTTCCAATGGAACATTAAGTCTCAGCGCTGTGTTAGATTGTACTGGCACAGCTTTATCCAGAATATACCACTGTGTGTTCCAGTCTGTAAGCTTTTCAAAACACCACACACTAACCAACCATGCCTAAAAGGAGACAAGTGAGTACACCGATATATCTTTCATGCATTCAGTAATAATCCAGGCTTTATACCACACAAGTGCAGCAGTGCTCTTGTTGCGATCGGAGTTGTTGAGATGTGGGTACAAATGTCGGTTTTGTGTAGCTGGTGTTTATCAACAGTGGAGCACGGTGCAGCTCGGTTTAAAGAGGATCTACCGTCTGTGTGGATTTCCTCCTCAAACTCGGGTCTCGGTTCTTATCGCTCGTGTGCAGATTATTTTTTTTTCCTGTGTCGGGATTTTCCTCGGTGCGGTGCACGGCTGCATGCGTGTTTGTGTACACACGTCTCCTCGCAGCGTGCGGGACAAAGCGGGGGTCGGTTCTCCCGGCGATGGGGGGGTCGCCGCTCCGCTGAGAAAGTTGGCGGCGTATCGATCGTTTCGAGCGGCGGGGCGAGTCGTCACGCTGGATGCTAAAGTTTCTCGCGGGGAAAATGGAGGGAAACGAAGGAGCGTGGATCTCGGTAATGTTGAGTTTATTCGGTGGAAGTTGGAGCGGCGGTGTTACGGGTGTTATTTATTGGTCCTGTGTGTTCGTGTGCAGCAGATCCACATTAAACACGACGTTCTCCGCCACTCGTTCTCTAACCTATCGTGCATATGTGCTTTGTTTGTGACTGCGCGGCTTCCGTCGCTGTGAGCTGTCTCCGTCGTGTCAGCTGCCCCCTGTCTCTCTGAGTATTGTCAGGTTATGCAATGGCCTCCGTCAGCGCAGCTCCTGTTGCTGGGGGCTGTGGTAGATTCTGCTGCCTCCACACCGACACTCGGTTTCAAACTAATGGCGGGAAGGCTGCCTGCACGGCTCGGTTTTCTCCGCTCGCTGGCGATCCTCATTCATTACAAGAGAATGGAGGCGGAGCCCGCCCCCTCCTCCTCCTCCTCCTGCTCCGGCGGAGTGTTACTGTAGGGAAGTGACTTACAGGAGCAGGAGGAGCACGAGCATCACGATGCCGCTCAAACTACATGATTCTGTTCGTACGTCCACGGACTCTCTTCCATACACGTGCGATCGCTTGTTATGCAGATGAGATTTGAGAACATACATTCTGAACGTGCTGCCACGGGCTTATTCTCAGAAAGGAAACGCCCACTTTTGAATTACATAACAAACAGTTGAAGCCCCCCCCCAAAGAATCCATTAAATCACTAACCTGGTTTTCTCTTTTTTTTTCCAAAGGCAACATCTGCAGGTGATTTAGTGGTGAGTAATAAACACATTGACACACGTTTCATTTCTTTTAGATTTCTTCTAGTTTGATTCACCCTCAATATAAAGGATATAATTCACCCACCAGGGGTCAGTAACGCCCCATAAAGTGAGAGCTGTTGGCTGATACTGTCTGTTGGAGTTAATCCCTCTGTTATCTCTTGTGTCATTCTGCAGGCCAAAAGGAGATCTCCCAGGTTGGTAGAGGTAAGCATCCATAAAAAGCAGCCTCAAAAAATATGCATGTTTTCAGAATGTCTTAAGCGCTTACATGAATGTTACTCTCCCCTACAGAGACCTGGATCTGCAAAGCCAGAGTCCAAACCAAAGCCAAAGGTGGGCCCTTGCTGTGATTTCTTCTAAATCTACTCATTTCTTACTCTCTGGATTGATGATTCTGTTAAACATAATAATAAACATTAAAAAAATGTGTTTGCAGAAGGCACCTGCTAAGCCTAAGAAAGCCAAGGAGGTGGAGAAGGCCAAGCCTGAGGAGAAAGCACCAGAAGCCCCTGCTGAGAATGGCGAAGCCAAAGCTGAGGAAGAGGCAAGTGTTACGTTGTCAAATATAATTGTGCATCATAAAGTTAATATATCCCACGTGGTGTGAATTTGACACTTTTAACTTTTGTCTTACAGGCACCAGCTACAGACGCAGCTGAAGAAAAAAATGACGCAGAATAACATTTCTCAAAACACGTCTTTTACCAGTGCTCCCTGTACCTCTTTTCTTGTACAATTCAGGGGAATATTTTTATCAACTATTTTCTAAATGCAGGTTTTTTAGTAGTTTGATTGTAGAGAACACTTTTTTTTAATGAAAAAAAAAGTCAATTTGGAGACGGGAATTTCATCACATCCCACAATTTTGCATTGCCATGAATATTGCGGTCATTGTTGTTGCTGTCAGTGGGTTTCATTTCAGTTTTAAATGTGAAGGCAGGGAGGGTGCAGGACAGGTTACCATGTCAACACGCAAGCACGATGTTCACCAGGAGCTGGGGCAACATCAGGAAGAACTTGTCTGCGTGGATTACATTCCATATGCTTTATAAGGGACAGCGTATGTAATCTGTGCTGGGGTGGGGATGGACAAAGTCACAGGGCAACTTGTTTTATTGTTTATAACGAAGAACTGTTTTAGAATGTTTGTAAGCTTTGTTCCTATATGTTAACTCTTGTAATCATGCAGTTTTTCTTAACGAACCTGATCAATAAACCTAAAATTCCTAGTACTGGAGCTCTCCTTATCAGAACTGTGCATCGCGTGTGTTGGTTGTGTCTCTGTCCTGTGATAGCATCGCAATAAATTTGTATAGCTGCTGTGAAAAGGGTTTCTGATCTTTCTATATGCAGTGTGTAATGGTACATTGTAAGGATGGTAAAAATGGAATTTGTTTTCTTAGCAAAGCTAATGAGATGTGTAACCATAAAAAAACACTGTTGAGACTGGATTTTTAGGCCAGCAGTCAAACTGTACATTTATTTGAGATGTCAAATGCATACCAGCAGTAGCAATATTCATGTGGGTTTTAGGTATCTGTATCAAGTACAAGTGTGCAGTTTCTTTTTATCTGTTTATAGATGTACCTGTGTAATGATTGTTATCAACAAACCAATAAAACTCAGTTGGTAGTTGTTACGCTGTTTCATTCTGGATTGTCACTGAATTGGGTTTCTGATACAAGACTGGAAATGTACAAGTAAAAAAAAATAAGGCTCTGTTATAAACTCAAGCAGACAACATTAAATTCAATCATAAAGTTATGAAAGCATGCCAGATACACTAGTACTCCGAATCCAAGATCACAGTAGAGCAGTGTAACAAGAATAAGAAGGTGGGAATCAAATATTCAGAAAAATGAAGTGCTGCAACCATATCTATAACACAGACATATAACCCTAACCTTAATTGATTTTTACACACAAACTCAAGACTGGTTCGATTTAGTTTAATAAGTCCAGTCTGTGATTTAACATGTCAATAACAGAGAAACATCTATGATGAATCATGCCTGTTAAATAGCCCACTGTTATAGTGACAGTGCTCTCTTCAGCACCATGGACAGCTTCACACAGACCTGCAGGTTGTTGTTGTTGTCTTCTCCCATCGATCGTCGTCTCAATCTCATCACTACTCATTACATCACATTACATTACATGGAGCTTCCTTGTTAGTAAACAGACCTGTGACGTCGTACGTCCTTGATGCACTTCCGATCGGCAGCACGTTCTCTTCCGCACCCACGGCTCCTCGTCCTACCTACACGAGCTGTGATTGGTCGAGAGGACACGTGAGGAGAAAGGTACATGGGAGATTCACCTGAGCAGCTTTAGTCCAATCTTCTGTCAAATGTGTCACCGTGTAACCTCCCAGGATTACATATTAAGACATACACTCAGTTGTTTACAGGGAATGGTTAAACCGTGTAAGAGCATTGACTTTCCCCATAATGCAGGCATGTACACTTCTGTCTCTAAACTGGTCTCATGTGACAAATACAAGCAGCCCACTGTACTTAAGACTACTATAAAGCTGCTTTTCATTGAATATTTGCATTTATGCTTTATCTTACATTGTTCTAGCCTATTGCCTATGCTTTTTAATTATTATTTTAGATATACAGTAAACACTATAGTTGAAGATGATTATTAGACCATCTCAGACAATACCACTATCATTGCAATTGTAAATGCATTTCTTTAGTAAAAATACTTATACATTGATAAACCTCTCCTTTTCTGTAAGGCCCTGTCTCTTCTCAACAGTGTTTCAAATATTGTTATTTTGTTAGTATATGTAGAGGGGAACCTACATTCCTTGGGCAAGGTACTGAACCCCAAATTGTCCCTGTGTAGATAGTGTTGTGTGATTGAAAAAAGCTGCCTAGATGACTGTGTGTGAAATGGTGAATGTACTGCAATTTTTTTTTTTTTTTGACTGGAAAAACATTTAATGAATACAGTCCATTTAGCACGGTGGACATTCTACACTTACATCATCCTCAGGGTGTGAAGCACATGCTGTCATCAACATCCTGTGATCCAGGTTACAAGTCATCTCAACAGAAGGACTCTGACAAAGTGTTATCAGTTCACTGCTTCCTGACTGATCAGGAAGTTTGCTTTATATACATCAAGTTACATTCAACAACTTTCTCACAGGGAGAAGTCAAGTGAGTCATTTTGGGGGATCATCTTCTTTAGGACAGAAACACACGGTTTCCTTCCTGGGTGAAGTGAACTTTGTCAAATAGATCAAATTTGTTTGTTAAAAAACCTCAGGAGTGGATGTTGAATCAGCCTCGGTCATCAGCATGTTGACAGTCTTCCTGTCACCGTTGATGGTCTTAGGGTGATCGTAGCACCACGCTTTGCCGCTCATTGATGCAGGACAATATGATTTTGATGAGGGGAACTCTTTGTGGAGCTGCATCAAGCCCCTCCTCATTGCAGCTGCAGGTTGGTTTGCGGATGTGAGTCCCTGATTAGCTGACAATTGCCCTTCAACTTCAAGAGGTTCAAAGGTGACTTATTTACCAGCAAGTCAACCTTTTTCTCATGAATGCTGGAAATATATTTATTATGTTGATGTGCTCTGCTACACGTGGCATCTATTGAACTTCCCACCTTCCCTGGAGAGGAATCCCTTATTTGTGACTCTGACATTTCTAGGTTTTTTTATAATAATAAAATTTGATTGGTTGATTGAATGATTTTTTTGTCTCAAACTTTTCTTTAAGTCTGACCTCGTGTTGATTTTTACAGGTCCCCTTGACCTACATTTGTTAAATATTTTTACCTAAATTGTAATAGCTGTATTGATTGAAAGACCCAATAATGTGGTGGGTCCACCAGACCCGCGAACATTGGCTGAGTGACAAAAACATGAACACCACACAAGGGTTAATGACATTTTAAAATGTTTTCAAAGGCTTCACTTGAATTTATTTAAGGGTGAGGACCCCAGGAACATGATTGTAACCACAAGGTTTTGCTCAGGATTTGTCATCAGCCTACAGTTCCTAATTGACCCCCCTCACCAGTCGTAGTAATTTACAGTTGTTTGATTAAGCATTCTTAATGAAACTGATCTTCATCATTCTTAGCACAGCAGAAGTCTTCTCTTGAAAGCATGGTGAAATGAAGCCAAAGGCCTATATGTTGTACAAAAATATCAGTAATGCAGAGACTTGGACCATATTGGATGTCCAAAATATCTCTTTTTAACTGTGTTTCAACAGAGCAAAGAGTTTATATCTAACTCATATCCAGAGAAAATAATAGGATTCATGTTGTGATGTGCATGTCTGCCTTTTTTGACACATAATATGATGTAACAAATGGTAAAGACATATCACACCAATCACAATAATGCTGAACTGGTTCATATCTGTATTTTCTGATCCTACGAAGCTTGTTCACGTCTTATCGGGGTAAATCACCATGGTAACTAATGCTGAACGGCTAACCTGCTCTGGGGCAGAGTTAAATTGGAGTTAAGAGATCAAGCAGTATAAAGGCTCCACCCACTGACCAATCTTTTTTTTTGAAACATCAGCATTCCTAGAGGATCCTGTGGAGCTGGGTGTGGATTGTTAGAGTCTCTGAGGAGGACAATGGTCTTAAAATCATTTTTACAAACTCTGATGAGTGTCTTATGAAAGATGTAGGTTCTCATTGGAGGGAATGATAAAACTTTTTCAGCTGCTGGAACCGAACTTTACCAACCTGACACGTAGGAGCAATGTGCTCACGGGGACACAGACTGTCTGCAACACTCTACGCTTCTTTATTGAAGTTACTGATATTGAAGTCTGGGTGGGTTAGTGGCAGGATAACTCAACATAGTTTAATACTTCTATCCTTCCCTTAAAGTAGTTTTATCCTGTGAAATTAAATATTTATTTGGAATGGGGGATAGATAGTTACCAGATGTACCTTCTGACAGCCCTCATTCCTCCCTCTCCACTCTCTCTCTCTCTCTCTCAGCCCTCACCAAAGTGACACTACACTGTTCTGTGGTGCACACTCTCCTTAAAACCAAGGATAAGGGAAGTCTAAAAGAGTGTCTGGTTGGTTAAGTCGATCTCCACTGCTAACACACCCAGTACATCTCAATCTCTCCCTGTTTCCAGATGCACCCTGTAACCACACCAAATGCACACAGTCATGTGGCGTGTGCCATGGCACATATAATAGGTCTATGGGTTTTTATTGACTGGTAATTGCAAATGTTTCCACTACAGCGTGTCCTCAGAGTCAGTGTGTATCCAACTAAAGCTCATTATAGACGCTATCATGTGATTAAGTGAAACGTTTCATCGCTCATCCCTTATTCTCTTCAATTTGACAGGTCTTGTTAGTAATGAGCAGATTAATTATTTGCGGCTTCAAGTTATGTATCTCGTTCCCACACATTATGTCGTGGGCACGTAATATATTTTTCCCAAATGTCTCATCTCCTTACACATTCACACTATCAGAGACGTCTTACCAGCTGTTCTCTCTGCATTCAGCAGCTGTAACTGTGTTTCTTCTAGCCTGGATAACGTGTTTGTTCTCCTCATATATTTCTAATATATCAGTTTGGTCCTCGTTGTGAAAAATGCGGCTCTGCTGTCAGTACACTTGTCCATGTCTGTGATTGGTCATGTGCAGTAAACACCTCCTCCAGACTGCGATTGTTAGGTTACGTTCGGATCTCGCAAAATATTTCCAAGGTATGTTGAACTCGATTTTTAGTACAGACCTCTGAAGGCTACCGATGTTTGGAAGGGGAGGGTGAGGTGAGGTGCATTCAGCTGCAATATGCAACATCTCCACTGGATGACACTAAATTCTACACACTGAACCTTTAAACTGGACAAAGAGGGAAAAAGAAGGCGTATGCGATTTTTTCTGCATGTGGAGGGTTTCACACATGAACTGCATTTTTCAGTATATTCAGAGAATAAAGTAAATAACCTCTCACAGTAAGGGTGTAGGTGGAAAGATGAACCACTGGCAATATATAGTTTGATTTAATTTCACATTTAATATCAGATTTCTTTCACCATTTCAAGTCCTTTGTACAAATTCAGTAATATATAGATTTGCTCGAGTGGTTCTGTTTGACCACTTTATTACTGGACTTGACACGACTCAGATTCTAGACGTGAGAAAGTTGTGAATATAGAAGTTGTTAGTGCAGTGCACAACCACAACGGCAGTGACTAAACACCTGTAGCAAAGGTTTCATGTCTTATGTATATAGATCCTTACAAACAAGTCACATAAAAAAGTGGACATGGCCTCAGAATATTGCTTCAAAGTTCTTTCTGTAGCATTAATATAAAAATCACATGATCTCCAGTTACTTAACTTCAGTGACATAATGAACCTATTACATGTTTACAAATACTTGAGGTATTAGTAAAATGATCGATGACCATGATGTATGCTACATCTGTGCAAATAGAAGTCTATAATATACAGAACCATCAGTAAACATTCAATAAGTTAAATACCTCCACTGAAGGCAGGGTATGCACTGAGCGGCACACAATCTCGACTGAATCCACCCAACATTTAAAGACTTGTTCTTGTTCTCTTCAGCACACAGATGTCATAAAGCAACTTTGAAATATCTCTACAGTTCATGAAAATGGCTTCTCGATCATGTGGAAGCACTAAAATGTAAGCATGTGATTAACAATGATGATCTAATGCCTGATTGTGAATTAAAAGTTATTTGACAACATCCACCCACCCTGAGTATCTACATGTGTTGGTCAGATAGGAGTTGTATAAATGTGCTGTATTCTGTATACAGAGCACTCAACAGTGCATAAACTCAGTCTCTCTATATTCACACCAAAGAACTTTAACGTTGGCTCAGGCAGGTACATTAGTCCATTTTCTCCGTGATCCGTCCCATTTTGGTGCGCATGTTACGCACCAGGAAGAAACCGATGGTTGCGATGCCCATCGTCACCTCGGCTACCCAGAAAGCCATGTCCCAGCTGTGCTTTTTGGCAATGGTGCTGAAGGGAAGCCCCGCCATAAAAGCGCCCACTGCAACACAAGGAAAATGAATTATGGGCAATGCTGGAACATCAAATTAAAGATGAGGACACCTATGGAGCTGTGGGTCAATCTACTACTTCCAGAAATCTCTGTCTGTCTGTATGTGGAACGCATATCTCAACATTCCTCACACTTGGTATGTGTATTGTTGAGGGCCCAAGGAAGTGCAATGTCTTTGGTATGATTTAAACATGTTATATATTCAAAGCGTACTGAGTCGAGCTTTGTGCAGCAGCAGCAGCGGCTTAACTTTAGTGTTACAGCCGGTCTTCACTTGCGGCAGCTCAATCACTGCAGATGACTTTTACACTTTCAGAAACAAAGCTGCAACCAACATCATTACAGGCCATTCCAAACAGGCGTGTCTAGAACAGGTACTGCACTAGTGTTTTAAAAGAGGCCTCCCTGTTGTTTGTTAGTCCTAAAGGATACAGCATGTTTTAGTTAAAAATATGTTTTCAGTGTTCAGCACAAATTACACATGGTACACTTAAATAATACTGATGTGAAGTTGGTCACATGAACCAGAAGCTTACCATTGGCCATCAGGGCCACAACAGCATGAGAGGTTCCACAGAAGTTTGAAGGAGCACTTTCACTGGCTATCACCCCAAACAAGGAAATTGGTCCGTAAGAAGAAAATCCAAACATGGCACCAAGGAAGAGGATCCAGATCTGTGAATGACAAAAAATACATAAACTGTGCTCTTCAACGTTTCCTGCATTCACCCCATGAATTTAAGAATTTTTTAACATACCTCTTTTTCTGACACCCCGATGAGGACAGACAAGGGATGAATGACTTGAACCCAAAGAGGAGCCTCCTGAGCAGAGAAAAGAAACTCTTGTAATCATGGAAATATTGTACACAATGATTGTAGAGAACAGGATGGTGAATTACCTTTGGGATTTCAGGTGTGATGGTGACTCTGAAGAGGTACATGGACACATACATGCCAGCCATCATGAAAAGGAGCAGGCCATGTCGGGGGTTTCCATGGGTGCCCAAGCCTTTCTGGAGAAAAATCAAACGTGGGGACATTTATAGCGATAATAACAAATCGATCGATTAAATCTTTGATTTGATCTGCGTCCATTACTCACCCGAGCCACTGCTCTGTCTGAGAGGAAGCCTGATGCGAGACTGCCCACAAATCCTCCCACCTCCAAGGCACTCATGTAGGTGCTGCCTGTAAAGCAGCACAGACAAGGTCAGTACCCTTAACCGGTCAGATTACATGCAAACCAATGAGAGCAAACCAGTTGGACGTGTACCCATAAGAACGGTCTGGCCTTTCTCCTGCATGAGGAACAGCTGTCCCCAGTCGGTGGCAGCTGTCTTCACCCCGAACACCACCAAGTAGCCCAGAGACAGCACCCATAGGAAGGGGGAGAGGAGGAATTCACTCAGGGTGCTCTCGTTGTTGCCTGGTGAAGAAAGTACAGACACAATTGGTACAGTCATTCACAAAAGAGATCATTGTTCGATAATCATTCAGCACACTGTATGGCCGTCACATGGTGCAGGCAAGTCCAACATAAATCAGTAGATGTACTATATCTATGAAGTGTGTCCTGGGGTTTGGTTATATAGGAGTCAGACTGATTATACTACATCAGTTTTTCAACATCCAAATCTTCGACAAAGAGTCAGATATATATATATTAAGACTTAAAAGGTCTTATATGGTGGGATGCCACAGTCTAGATAATTGATGGGAAACACTGAAGTGTAGGTTTGGGGTCACAAAATAAAAATATATGTCACAGCGTTTCTAGGGGAATGTATTTTAGCTATGATATAAGAGAGAATCCAGACAAAACAAAAAGAACATGGCTCTGCCTGTGTGTGGACATGTTTGATGATTGGTTCAGGATCATTACTGATGAGCAGCTCTGTCTAATGTGGGTCATCATTATAACATCCATGGTGACAACAGGTTTGGGGCTGCATTCATGACTGTGTCTTTTCCTCACTGAGGTCGTTAGTGAGTAGTGATCATTGTGGTTGATTGGGGAATAACAAAGTGTAAATAATACTGCTAATAATATGACTTTTAGTTTGCAGTTCTTAGACATCATTTCAGACTGACAGATCAGAATATTGCCTTTTCTAGATGATGCATAAAATCTTCTTCATAGCACAAAGATTTAACTGAGCTCCAGCAGGTTCTCCAGTGAGATGAAAAGTATATCACTAGTGGGATAAAGTGATTATCATACACGCTGCTGCGTCTGACCCACTACACTTGCAATCTAATTTCCCCAACCAACAATTTGAATGTCCTATCAGGAATCAAAACCAAAATAAATTTAGATGTGTATCCTGTAAACATGAAGAAAGCAGCAAACAATCACACGATGGAACCAGAAATCCAAATGTTCTGTTAATCAACAAATTGGGTTCTCAACTAAAAATTGAAGGCCTAATTAAACTCCTTTATTTCCCTTAATATTTACCAGACAGAAACCATTTAATATAATCATGCTTTCTTTAATTGCATCATTGAGTGACCTACACCTCTAAGTTCCTATGTTTTTTTTATTTTTGATCATAATCAATAATTCCTGTCTGATTGAGGTAACAATCTTTAGCTACACTGGAAGAAGTTACTCGTAATAATTCTAGCCAGCACCGCTTTTCATTGCTTACCTCCCTTCGCCCCCTTCTTGGCCGCGGGCTGGATGCTGGGAAGGCCCACATCCTTTGGCTCATTCTTTACAAACACCAGACAAACAAACGAGAAGGAGGCACAGAAAATTCCCGACATGGTCAGGATAGTCCTCCAGTCATAGTAGTGCAGGAGCACCGTGACCAGGATTGGACCCAGACTCCCGGCCAGGTTCATACTGCAGGACAGCACCGACCACCATGTTCCAAACTGAGAGGGGTCAAACCACTGATGGAAGGGAGACGCACAGGAGAGAGAGCAGAGAACGGTCAGATTTCCAAAATCATACACTACAGACTGAGTCAAAGAAAGCTGAATTATTTTTTCCCTCATATGCATGTTTACAACTATCATGTGTTGTATTACTGGTTACTTTCATGATTCACACAATTTATTTACAGTGACCAGAAAAAATAGCAGAAACATTACAAACATTTAGAATGACTGTCTGACCCTGTCATTACATCATGACAGCTGAGTACGACCATAAACATTCCTCACAGTCAGCACACGCAACAGAGTCACAGAGCAATTAATAACTTGACAATCCACTGAGCACACTCTTAAACACTTAAAACAGCCAGTCAGGCTGGAAGCACAGTTATATCCAGTGTGTAGCTGTTAGATCAGCTGGGGAACAGGAGCTGCAGCAACATGCTTAAAGTTCCCAGATTAAAGGTGTTTCCTCTCCTTGAAGAAGGAAAACACCTTTGGTTAAAGTGTTTTTTTCTTTTGGAAAGATCTACTGAGGATCTACTAAAAATACATTCTCCTGTAATCTGATCCCCCACCGCACACTGAGCACATGCCAAAGCCTATTTATTCCCCACCTTTTGAACACTGCTGCTTTGAAAGCAGCTTCTTGTGAGACAAAAAGTGCTGGATGGCAGAATGCATCAGGCTTTGCTTAAAGAATATGTATTTTTACAGTCCTGCCAATAATGCATAAATTCCACTGCAAAGTGAAATGAATGAAGTTGAACATACTAATAGCAGACTGAAAATCTTTTGGATTTTAACATTAACTCTGCTGAAGTTACTTTAAACTATCAGTGCCTGTCACAGCTGACATCTTCTCAAAGAAGACTGTGCTGCCTGACAAACTATTTCCACCTTGTAGCAGACAGTTCCACTTTCTCTCTCGGACTACAGGGTGCAAACACACACACTGGGACTTCTCTTGTCTCTGAGCATCTGCTAATCTATCTACTAATTCCCCAAATCTCTGTCTGTATGTGGAAAGCTGACCTCCAGACCTGTTCCTCCTATCAGCTTCACACTTGGCGTGTGGTTTGTTTATGGCCCAAAGAAGTGCAGAGTCAAGTTGGTGTGATATGTTCAATATTAATAAACATTGAATTGTACAAATTGTGCTTCAGGGTTCTGTGGACCGAGTCCAGAAGCAGGTCTTTAGTTGTTCAATGCAATTAAGTTCTATTTGCATAGAGTCAAATCATATTATACATTATCTCAATGCACTTTAGATAGTAAGGTGGAGACCTTAAGCATTTTAGAGAAACCCAACAGTTCCCAATACGAGCAAACACTTTGTTGACTGTGGAGAGAAAAATCTCCCTCCCGTGTCGCTTTCACAGTTGTTATTACCTTTCGCAGCACTTTCCCACAGGGGGGCCAGCCACAGCCCTGTCCCAGGCCGTTGATGAACCAGAGCAGTGAGAACATGGATACAGTGGAGGACCAGGAGAAGGCGATGTTGATCCCCCCCACCAGGAAGAGGCCGATGGAGAACAGCCAGCGGGCGCTGATCTGATCAGACAGCACGCCGCTGATGAACTTACTGATGGCATAGGCCATTGTCTGGCTGCTGGTGATCAGACCTGCAGACACACCATGAGGGTTACTTTTGAGCAGAAAGAGTCCATGCAATATAAAAGTTTAATCTTCAGTAGTATTAGAAGCAGTTGCATGCTTCACTATTAAATATGATGACATTGGCAACAAACGTCACTGTGCACAGCTTCAGAGGTGCATGGCGGCAGATTCTCAGTTGCTCACGAGTAGATTCCATCCAACGGCCTTGACTGTTCTATTATTTCTCTTAAAGTGTTATAACTCTATAAGTAATGAGAACAATTGCAATAGCAAGGTGCTGAATAAGACATAATACATTTTCTGTGCAGTCAGAAGTTGGAGGGTGTAGCTGAAAATGTAGCACCCCTGAATAAATAGTTTATGACTTGACGCAGTGTCACCTCTGTGTCCAGTAGTTTTCAGTTTGCCACTAGTAAAAAGTATAGTAATACTTTTACACTGTGTGTATCTGGCTGGCAACGTCATTATGGGCCTCAACAGAGCCAGAAAACTCAGAAAGCACAGTTATACCTCCTTACCCAAGTCATCTTTGTCCAGTTCAATCTCCTCCATCACAGAGGGCATGACGAAGGAGAAGGTCTTCCTGTTGAAGAAGTACAGCGAGTAGCCGATGAACATGCACAGGAAGATGACTACACGATAGTAGCCATAGCCCGTGGCCCCCATGATTGCACTTTGTCCGAACTTCAAGGATGATGAGGAAAAACAATAATTATGTCCTCTGACTTCTCTTCAGCAGCGTCTCTTATTTGGGTCCTCTGGCTTCTAGATTATAAGAAATCTACCTGAGTGGAGCGGCGCTGTTATGAGGACTGTTCTCAGGACGATGTTATCAAATAGGTGTTTGGACCGGCACAATGGAGAAACAATGCGTAGCATTGGCTGGGTGGCACTGATTAAATATATTCCATGAGGAAACAGTCCTGGCAGCACTCTTCTTGCAGACTGGTTGCTCTGTCTATCTGTGAGGCTGCTGCGTGCAGGGGCAAGGACAAATGAAGGAGAAGTTGCACCAGCCTGGAAATCAAAAAACAAATGAGATTTAAGACAAAAGCAAATACAACTAGTCACTCAAGATAAACTTTCACTTTTAAAAGTCAGATAAAAATTATTTCGTGACAATGTGTTAAGAATATTTATTTTCTAAACTTTTTTAAAGTATGTGCTTTTGGTCAAATCTCTCGAGAAAACAGTGACGTAAGGAATTGAGCATGCATGTTCCTACAAGTGTTGTTGGCTGTGATGTTGTGTGATGATCAGCTGAACAAGTCATCAAACACCACCAGGTTCACATATCGTACACTGTGACCTCAGCTCCTTCTGTAACTCCACTGGTCATGTAAATACCGAAGCTGCTGCAGGAGGTCTTGAGGTGTCCAGTCAGCAACCCTCAAAATAGCCGCTGTTACACAAGTTCAGCTCAGCAGACCCAGTGACCAAGTGTGGCCATGTCTTTAAGGAAACAGAACTGAGATTAAAACACAACGATCATGCTCGTGAGTAGTTCGTGCATGTAGCTCTTTTGCAGAGGGTTGTTCGGCTCTGACACTGACATGTCACAGGCTATGACCACAGCAGCACTGACCAGAGGCCTGTTGTTGGACAAAGCATCCATCAACAAACCACAGCAGACTGAGATTCACTCCAACTCATCGCCTCAAACTCACTACTCCCCCGGTTACTTGCTGGCGAGCGAGCTCCGCGGACGTGGATGTCCCCACGGGTCTACATTCAAACAACACCCCGACAAAGGGCGACGCTGTCCGGGGCTCGACGCCGCCTGGTGCCGCGGTGTGGAGGACAGAGGAAAGCCGCTGTTACCTTTCATTCGCGTCCCCGCTGCTGCTGCCATCCATGCGAGAGGGCGAGGCGCGTCCACGAGTCTGCAGCTCTTTGAGCGCGTGACCGTGACACAACAGCGAGCCACCGTGGCAATCACACGCACACGCACGTTGCAGCAGGGTATCTTTGCACGAGTGCGTCTAATATTAGCCCTCGGTTAAAAACGTCTCTCACGCCGCCAAACTCCATTTGGATTTCTACGATTTTACATTTGTAACATCTCATAGTAGGATTTAAAACACGTCCACGTGCTGTGCAGGGGTCACGCGGGCCTGTAGTTTAATTCGGCCAAACCCGGCGCAATGAGGTCTTAACATTAGCTCACACAGCTCACTGTCGCCCCCCTGTGTCCATTGAATCAACACATGCAACGCACTAACTGAGAAGTGTGAAAGTGTAACTGTGCACACGTTTCTCACAGCAGGCATTTTGATGTAGCATCAGGGAAAGATAACATTAGAAACAGCTGCTAGACATTCAGGTGTAACTGTTCAAAATTGTCCAATCCTGTCTCTCTCAGACAATGGAGCATACTCCCTATTCCAGTGGTAAACATTATTTCCAAGATCAGTTCTTCCACTCCATGCTTTGTAATTTCCCTCTTTAGCTTTTCTCATTCTCTAACATACTCATTGCAGTGAAACATTGCATGCTCCACTGACTCCACTAATTGGCAGTAATCATATAATCCTGTTGCTTGTCTGTTTATTAAGTGCAGTGTATAAGTGACTCTAGGGTTAAGGTTCACTTTACTCATAATACTGCCAGTCACATTCAAAGCTGAAGTCACTCTGAGCCAAGCCTGTCTCCTGTATATGTTTGTAAGGCCTCAAAGTGAGATGACCTCACACATAACATCTGGGGTTGACTCACAAAGCAGGATTAATGAACTCAGATGGGTCATGGTGCTGAGGGCAAACACAAAGCTAAAACCAAAATGACAGTGAACTGAATGAAAAACTGCTGGGGGATTTATAAATGCAGTATATCCAGCTGAATCCATAGAGCTTTTGTAAAATAGCTCAGGAGATTTGACCTCATGTGAAACAGTGGTGGCAGCAAAAGACAATCCAGAGGAGACAGAAGCTCCTATATGGTAAGATACAACAGTCCTTGTGTTTTGGAAGATCTACTCACTGCTTTAGACATGCACAGAAGGGGCAATATGTGTGAACGCAAATGTCCAAGTGAGACTTCCTGTAGATTTTCTCAGGCCAGCCCCCCTAGTATAAAGTCTGCAGGGCTTATGTGAGACCACAGCAGGAAATCCTCTGCAAGATTCATTGCGAGTGAGTGGTCAGGTTGAAAATAAATATCTCAGAATGAAAAAGCTGGTCCACACACACACACACACACACACACACACACAGACACACACACACACACACACACACACGTAGAAGACATGAACAAACATGTCAAGAGAGCTTTTGGTGATAAGAGTCTATGCTGATGTTACATCCTGCCTCTGGCTGCTGCTCCACCCCTCACCTGAACGCTCCAGAGTTTCTGTGTTGTTGTGAACGTGTCTGAGCAGAGATTCTCCTGCTGGGTTGTTTATATGTAAAAGACAAAAAACGGCCAGGCACCCAGACCTAATTTTCCTGGAAATCCTCCAGAGGTCATATCTGAAAACTGCTTATATTTCAATAATTTAAAAAAAACTGTTTGACATTTTGGGAAAGAAACTAATTTACTCTCATGTCCCAACTTATATAAGCTTCATATTTCACAATCTCATATTAGTTAAATATGAAGCTTGAGTGTAGAAGATCATCAGCAACTGAATAAAGTAAGCTAGAAATGAAAGGTGGCTGACTTCTGCTCAGTTTCAGGGCCTGGTGTTGTTCATGCTGGCTCTGTCACATGTTCATGTTTCACTGAAACACTTGAGCAGAACAGAGCCATGGTTAATGTCATCAGTCACACCCACTGTGACATGTAAAATGATCTGCTGTGGTAAAGGTCATTTCTACTAGTTTGACCTCTAGTGTTACTCTCTTAACTGATATCTGATATCGGTGCCAGATACTCTTTCCTTTTTCAGTCTTTTTTGATCATGGTGGTAAACGCACTGTATTTATTTTTGCACTTTTCCAGTCCTATCACTCAAGTTAGTGAGCAAGTACTTGAGTGTACAAGTCACGATCACCCTTTCATACAGCTTTTCTATATGTAGTGCTTTTTCTATCACACACCTGTGACCTGTCTCATTTGGGGTTCAGTATCTTGTCCAAGGACAATTCTGAATGCGTACTGGAGGAGACAGGGATCGAACAACTGACCTACTGGTCAGTGAATAATGCCTATGCATGTTTTTAAAATGTTCTGTAAAACATGTTTTTATCCACATAGGGGTAAAATGTTACAGTTTGGCCTTGTGCTTTAGAGCCTCCATCAGCTACTATGAATTACATAGAATTACAAACTATGAATTACAGCCACATTACAAGAGAGGGCACAGTTATCTTATCATGTGGGTAGAGAGCTGCTAAGGATTATTTTCCTCTCATCTCTTTATCATTTCCTTTACACTTGTTTGTGTCGTTTCTTGCCAACAGATGGCGCTATAACAGCGTGTAACCTGGAGCTGAAGAACCTAACAGTCATGGGTGACATGGGTACATTCATTTAAATCATTTTATATCTGTCGTTAAACTAAAGGCTTGATTGTGAATCTGCCTCAGCATGAAAATAGAGATACAATGTGATGTATGAATTTGAAATTATTTTGAAAGCTTTTACTGCTGCCTGGGTTTGGATTTCGTTGGTTTTTCCGGACACAATTTGTGTGTGTGTGTGTGTGTGTGTGTGTGTGTGTGACTTCCTGTGTTCAATCATCACAGTAATTGGACAGATGTTCCAAGGGCTTGTCTGTGGTCACCTTCCAGAGTTCACTGCAGGATGACTGTTTACAATTTATTGAACCAATAGAAAAGCAGAAGAAAGAGTTTCTCCATTTACTGGAATGACCACACACACAGACTGAGAGGCACAGAAGAAGAACTGACTGGTAAACTGAAGAAAAACAAAAAAACAAATGAAAACCAAAGGATTGAGTCATGGGCACTTCACATTTCTTATCAAAGTTTTTTCTAATTCACGTTGCATAGTTTGTAAAAGGACAAATGTTACAGTGTGTAATTTTGTAACCATTTCATCTATTGACGCTGACAGACTGAAAGCTCATATAACAACAAGAGCCTTCAACATATCACAGCAAACCTCAAGGTAGTTGTGAAGGATTCTTCCAGGGATGATTTATACCTAAACATGACCTCTGTGTATTTACTCTTCATATAAAAATTCATAATGTAATTCACTCCGGATGTTTGTGGTGAGGTGTCAGTGTAGTGACTTCAGCAGTATTGTATGCCAGAAAAATGTCTAGATCCCAGGAAACAGCGGTGCACTGACTAATAGGCTTTAGTCAGTATGATATATTGGTAGACATAAACTGTTTCTCTTTGTGCTTCGTTTTTAAAACATCCCCACATTTTTTGATAAAGTTGAGTCAGTTTTCACAATAAAAATAAAGAATAGTTATTGTCAATCAATAGCTCTTGATAGTGTGGCTCTCACAGTTGTGTTTTCCATTGATGCGCTTGAGACGTCTCTGCCACCGTTATTTTTCAAGAGAAGACAGAGAGAGACAGCAGTGNTTGTAGCTTTATTCAGAATCCCCTCAATAGAAATATATCATCACATAACTTCTACGTATATATAAAGGCTGTAGATGAATAGCTGAGCATAGATTATTATATTATTCCTCACACAGTCAAATTTGCACAACACAATTTCTCAATCCCAACAAGCAAAGCTTAAAGAGCAGATTTAAAGAGTTGTAACAAAGAAGTGTTTCATATCTACAGGTCGAGTTTTTAAATTGTTTCTGAAACACTTTTTGATCTTATTTGCTGGATTCCTCTCGATAAAGCCAGTGTCTGTGGTCCCTGCAGGCTTGTAATATACACGGCCATATTTTTCATTTGGACCGTAATCTTAATCGAAATCATAATCTGTGGAGGTAATACAAATCCTTTGACAATTTGTGGTAAGATCCATATCATCAGTGGTAAATGGACTGTATTTATCCAAAGTACTCACACACACATCCGTACAGTGCAGCTATGTATTCTATGTTTCTCTATTACGCATCACTCACACAGCCTTCAGGGGCACTTTGGAGTTCAATATGTTGCCCAACATAGGCACGCACAACGGGGGAGCCTGAACCTCTGACCTTCTGGTTAGTGGACAACCCGCTCCATGCACCTCCTGAGCCACAGCCACCCCTAATGACTGATGTTTTGACCTACATTGTCTTTGTCAGTATTCATTCACTGCTGATATGCACTAGCTTGCAAACCATTTTTCACTTGTCTCTCTACTCTGTAACCTGCACAACGCCCGTATTGATTATTAGAGACAGTCTGCAGTAGGCGACCCAGAGAGAGCGAGAGAGGGGGACTTTACTGCACTGCATCAAATAACAACAAGGTTCTCGTACTATTTTTATGCTGGTCATTGGGGAGGAGACCATGTTCAAATGCAATAACGCAACACATACCTCAACCTGCTTTTAAATGATTGAGGAGACTGTCTCTATGTAACTGTTGGAGATGAATTAAAGATTAATTTATTCCCAAATGGCAAAAAAGAATGTTATATGTGTTTTACTATAGGCTTAGGAATCAAACTTCAATCTATCTATCCATCCCCCCTTTCCATCCACCCATCCATCCACGTATCCATCTATCTATCTATTTGTCTATCCGTCTATCTATCTACACATAATTATGGAAATATTGTGTACAGCCTCCCTGCTGACACAACCCTCAAAACCATGGACACCATTCACCACAGTGTGCCATTTGATTCATTACTGCAGACATCTGTCACACCATGAGTTCTGGAATCGACCAGACACTGACATTCATAAAGCCTTATGGTCAGGACA